AAAAAAAATTCGACCGACCGACCCAATTTTCAGATTTCATGTAATGTTAAACGAAAAATTTACTTTGCGTGGCCTTAGGGTTAGCATTTAAACTTATGTTAGAGAATAAGGGTAGCATAGTAAAATTACTCAAGGAATTTTTTTGTTAGTGCACGAAAGGTGGTTTCTTATATGAATTTTTGAGAAATAAACAATTTTTGACTTAATTGATGTTTGTTTTGAATCTTTGCAATCGTGTTACATTACACCAAATTGTGATTAATTATTGGCTAATCGATGTAGATCGTCACGTGAAAGTGGTATTTTTGTTAACTACATATCGGCCTGATCAGTTTTTAGGGTTAAAAAATTATAGTATAGCACCCCAAAATTTATTAGTATATTTTTTAAAATGTACCCCATTTTAATATCATGTGAGCATGAAAATCATTTAGATAGAACCTTAAAAATATTTATTTACTATTAAAAATATAAGCAAATGCGCTGGAACCTATCGTTCAAAGTCCCAACCTATCATTTTTTTTAATAGGTATATAGTATGCTAGAATTTATAGTTATATATGTTTTATTATATATATTAACTATTTAAATATTTAGTTATGTCTAATTCTATTAGCACTTCAAGATTTACTTGTACTTTTTGTATGCGTTCACGATTTTATAAAACTCAACGTGGTCTTCAACGTCATGAAACAATAAAACACAAAGAACATAATATACTACCTTCTTATATATTACCATTACCTGACTATAAGCTTGATCATGTTAAAAAAGTTATGGTCTGGAAAATTCAGAAGCGTCTAAAAAAGCATCATCGTACTGTTGGAAATCAGGTTTTTTCTTTACATTGTAGTGAAAATACCTTTGTATGAATATTTGGTAAATATCTTATATGATATTCTCCATGTGGTAATTTTTATCAATGTTATTTTAGCAGAGACAATTCATATAATATATTAACAAATATTTTTAATGATGCTATGTGGGGAGAACAAGATTATGGTAACGGTCAACTTAGTTGGATTAAATTAGTAGATGAAATGAATTGTAACTCTCAAACTGAATTATATATTGAATAGACTATGAAAGGATTTTATGATATGTCGGGTCATAATTGTTATGCTAGAAATGCAAAATTTAGATTTTTAACTGATAATGCAATGTTTAATTAATAAAAAATTATAGATTTCATTTATTAAAAATATTGAATTAATAAGTTTGTTTAAAAATTAATTAAAATACTTTTATTCATACTATCTAAAGTATTATAAGAACAGCAAAGTTATAATAATTGTGTACTATTTCTATTACTTGAATATTATATTTGAGAAGATATTCACGAACTTGAATAATTTATTTTAAATAATGGCAGCTACATTTTTTTATGGGCAATACTAGGTTGGCTCTTGAGAATAACCTTAATTAATTAATTGAAATACTTGAAAACACCTATTATATAGCATTAAGAGATTAACCAGGAGGAATTCCCCCCACAATCATATGACGCATATAAATATTTATTGCGCTTTGCAAAAAGATGTAGCTGTTGCAGATCACCAAAGAAATATAAACGTAACTAATCGAAAATATAAAATAACAATCTAGAAAACCCCATTAAAGATAGCAAAGCACCAACAAACGATAAGATATTTAAAACAGCAGTACAAGAATTACACCAGAATGATAAAATATGTATACAAATGTTACAGGAAAAAACTAGTTAGCAAAAAGAAATTACCAACAAGCGACTGATACAAGTATATACAACCTTCCTTGCATTTTTTCTTTTTTTTTTAAAGTTGTTGAAGTTTGTTGTGGAAGAGGCTGACCAAGGACTTAATGTTATGACCTCAGGTATGGCCGGTAAGCCAAATGACCCTAGAACAAGAATTAGCTATAAAAGATCAACAAATCACCCTCCTAATAAAAATGAGTAATTAAAAGAAAATTTAAACCTTTTGATGCCATGTTTAGTTCGTGGTTTCATTCTCTTTTTTTCGTTAATTTTTTCTTTTAAAAGATTAAGAATGAATTCTTTAGTAATTCACTTGTAACCTTTTTTGTTTAAGGGGTGGTCAGTGATAGTTATTTCGGTCTTTTATTTATTGGTGGAATACCTTTAACTAATTATCTAGAACTTTAAAGTCTTTTAATTAATTAATATCTAAATCAGTAACTAAACTAACACACAACAAAAGGAGAACAGTCTAATGATACATACAATAGTATATGATGACACCAATCGACAACACGAGCGTGTGAATAGAAATTCCAACAAGTGACGACTCTTAGTGACAACACCAAATATGATATCTCCAACTGACAATACCAATATACTACGACTCCAAAGAAAGTACAGTACTAGCGTATTTAAGATGCAATGCAAAAAAAAAAGCATTGATCGAAAGTTGCAAAAAAAAATAAAATAAATAAATACTTAAGTATATCTTGATTGTGTAACTGAGAAGAGGTGTTAAGCACTAGTTAATGGGTGTTTTATACTAAATAATTTACTATTCATAATGCAGCATAATATGATTGTAAGATTTTTGAGATTTTGTCGATCAATTTGTTAAAAAAAAATTTATAGTAGTAAAAACTATATATTTTTAAAATGTTATAACTTCCTTCTTAGCAAAGTACATTCGATTCTATAACTTGCAAATGATATAAAAATAGTGTTGTTTTAAAATTATGATACCATGTTTAATATTAATATATGAATTTTAGTAGGTCTCTATAATATAATTGTTTAAATAATATCTTTAAAACTTTATAACTTCTGCTTTAGTAGAGCAAATTTAATTCTGTAACGTATAAATAGCATATAAATAGCTTGCTTTTAAAACTATGTTACAATATTTAATATTAATATATAAATTTTAGTAGTTTTCTATAATTTAATTATTTAAATAGTTGGTAAAATTTATTAATTTATAATTTTAGCCACGTTAATAAAATGAAATAAAAAATATCTCAACATAGCTTTAAAAGCATAATATTTACATATCATTTGCAAGTTACAGAATTGAAATTGCTTTACTAGAACAGGAGTTATAAAATTTTAAAAATGCACAGTTTTTATAATAAAATTACTATGATAAATTTTTTCAATAAATTGATCGACAAAATTTTAAAAATCTTTATAAGTGGGCCAATCATATAGTGCTGCACTATGATAGTAAATCATTTGGTATGAAATACCCTAACTTGTTAAGTGTCTTTTAAAGGTACGTACATACATACGTACATATATATGCTAACTACAAAATGGCCAATTATATTTACTTCATGTGATTAATTACTTGATTACGTACAAATATACGTACTATATTAACCTGATATAATAGATATTGTATATACATACACACTTTTTCATTTATCAGTCATGAAGAGAGAAGAAATAAGTGCATATCCTAAAGACTCGCACATTTTTTTTAAAGGCACACATAGATCATGGAACTATATAATTATAAATGAGGGTATCTATCCTCCTTTACATAAACTTGCATATACTAAGAAACCAGAGCAATATGCTATTTCTGATTAGTATATTGTTCATACAACATATAGAAAAAAAAAATATATCGCAGAATGCTCTATCCAATATATCAATGACAAGCCATATTTTGCAATACAGTTTGACAAA